TCGATCTGGCGGACGATTTCTTGATGCAGACCGACCCCACCGAATTTGACGGCAGCTGTCGAGAAGTGTGAGTTAGGTGCATTGTCTGTGGATGGAGCTGAGATAACAAGGCCTACCAATTGTGCAACTCGCATCGGCAATGCAGAGGATAAGGCCAACAACCATGAGAGCATCATCCCAGCCGAACTTCAGACGTTCGACAAATTTAGAAGTAAAGCGCAGAATCACGCATACCACTTCCAGGACTATAAACACAATTGAAACGGTGATTATTAGGTGTTGTTTGGATTGATGAAGCTGCTCTTCCGAATACTCGTCCATGCTGGCGGATTTGCGAGACAACAACCACACCCCAGTGGAAGTAAGGGATATTGAAGGCTGAACCTTCGGTGTATCGCACTAATTCAGTGGTAGGAAATATTATGAGAATCGTCACTCGGTCTTTGAAATCCGGTTAAGTCGCTCTCGTTCATCTTGATATAAGCTCGGCGAGGTCCGCATACTCCACACGAAATAACCATCCCTAACTATTCGGGACAAGCGACACGCAAATAGGGGCTGGAATATAAAGCAACTCCCCGTAGAGAGCTATAAAGAGAGCCCAAGGACTGGTGGCAAGTGCACTCGGTAACCATAATGAGAGCGGGTCTCCTGCATCTAAACAGTAGTAGATGTGCTGATCTGATCACTCTGCAGGGCCCAGGCAGCGTTTAGCACCATGATGGAACGCTAAACTAGCACTTCCGCAGCATCAGTCATACCACATCTTTACTTTGCAGCCTATAGCTAAGCCAATGGGCCTTGGTGTGGGCCAACTCGTCTTTCGGAGAAATCTGATCTCGATTGCTCGAACGAAGACTAGCGTCAGACTATTGAATCTAGTAAGCTGAACGAGTAGACAAAGCGCGGTAAGCATAGTCTGTTCAGTCTGAATGTGGAAGAATCCTCCGGATACGTGATAAAACCACTAGTCAAGGTCCACAGTAATGACAGGCAGATTAGTACGCTTTTAAGACGATTAGATGATGACTTCTCAGTTTATTTGGGAGCAAGAACAGAGCCCATAGCTTAACGGTAGAGCCTCGTTTGCCAAGGTTGAAGCCCTATTCCATCAAGCGCGGCCAGGAAGGTTGTTCTTTGTTTCCACAAAGGGGAACAACACTCAGGAGAGTACTCGGCACTCGCTTTGATCCTGCAGCGCCGAATACAGCCATGGCCTGAATATCCTATATACTTTCTGATTACTATTCTAGAGCTATTCCCGTCTCTCTGGGGTAAACTTTATTGGCGAACACCGGCACTCGAGGGTTACCTTGGAGTTTCTACTATCTTTCGATGAATTCGTTGAGGATAAGTAACATGGCATTGCCATTTCCTACTTATATATAACATAGGGTACCAGCTGGTGAGACAACAAATGAACCAGCCCTCATGGTGGTTTTACCTTCCATATTTCTGTAGTGTCAGGCCAATCGTGAGAGAAAATCTATCGAATCCGGGCACATGTACTTCTCAATCTAACATATTGACATACTTATGCACCACTATGAACACTTTCTAGTATCAGCAAAGCCTCAACAGCAGGTCCTAGCACTTCACAATATAGTTCTCTTTCGATAGTTCGCTGGATGATTGGCATTCGGAATCATGGTTACTTCCCTGTAATCGCTAGGGTTTACTAATGAGGAACCACAAAAATCACTTTAGGACTTTAAGAAGTAGGGACTGCTGTTCGCTAAACTTCCACTAATGCTTGGCCTCCAAACATTCAGCCTAACGATACCAACCACAGCATGTTTGCCAGCTGTTCACCACCAAACCTAACTATCCTGACTTATGCATGTTGTCTATGGACCCATGATCCGGACCTGCTCTGAGAAATTTCTGACCACAACTCACACCGTGTTATCAAGTCTGTCCAACCCCAATATCCAAACCATGAGCAGATCCATCCGAAGATTGTTCACCCACACCAGCACCCTCACTCCCCCCTTTCACCTCATCAGTCGGCGCCGTACCCAACGCCCTAATCTCCTCCCGCAGCGCATCTAGACGACAGGACACGATTTCATCACTCCCATCATCATAAACAAGATTAAGGTCCTCGTAATCGAGATCAAAAGAAACCGCCCCACCCTTCAAGCGCACTCTCGTCGTCAAAGCAATAGTGGTAGCAATATGCATGACTTCTCTGACACGGACGATATAACAGCCTTCTCTGCGCTTGCCTATATCCCACACTATGGCATCTTGGTCCTCCCGTAGTGGCAAAGTAAGATCGAAAATGATCTTAGCGAAAGGGGGCAGTTTCATCATCTCCTGCCTCCACATCTTGGAGAGGGGTTGCAAATCGAGATCTCGTTCTTGAGGCTCAACCATAGAGTTGTAATCATTAGTGTGAATGGACGGTGACTGGGTGCATAATTCGAGGATGTCGGCTTTTTCGAGCGGGCGAAGTAGGGGTAATCTTGCTTCGCGCAGGGAAGGGGGTAGTTTTTGGTCAGGTTGTAGTTCGGATAGGTCTTCGCTGATGCAGAATTCGTGGGGGGATGAGGAGGGGAACACGGACTCTGCTGCTGGCATTTTTGAGCTCTTGGTGAGATATGGTCAGGGAGTAGTTGAGTTGAGCTGAGGATGTGGTGGGAAGAGTTGGATAATTCCAATGGGGAAAGCGCGGCCGGTGTTTATTTATGTGGCTGAGAATGACTGTATTCACTAAGAATCTCGAGTGAAGTTTACCGGATACCCTTAACGGGTATTATTCATTGCAGCTGCCATTCACTTACCCAGTCTGAATATCAGTGGCTTACCGCATGGTACTCTTTAGAAGGTCATCATGAAGTCGCAGCGCCAACTTTGAGACAATCCTGACAAATACAAGCCTATTCCCGTTATCCCTTAATACTTGAACACACTTTGGAGATATACCAGCAAGCAGCAACCATAAGGACTACATCTAAGAGGCTGAGGAAGACGTAATCGCCGAGGTAAATTCCCGTCCTCTCCATTACTTCCCCGTAAACACTGGGGAGATAACCGCATGGCCTTGGCGGAGTCTACGGTCAGTCGAAGCAATCTATTTCCATCCCTCCATATGGTAGTGAACATCGTTCTGTCTTATACTATAGAAACTTTTCACCGGTAGAGATATGGAGCCGACGCTCTTCCCTTCATCACACTAATTAGATGGACGTGACTTGCTACTCAGAACGCCTACCTTGTACGGTCAATATAAGGGTACGTCTAGTCAGGCCTTGGCCCCAAGCCGCGACGTGACTTATGTAGTCCGTAAATGTATGTGCCAAAGCCGATCAACCAGCCAACGCACAGGAAAGTTCGACGGTGAAATGCTATGCGGCAGATACAGATACCAATCGTTTTCGTCCACCAGGCTCATAGTACGTGTCAGCGCAGTGCACTCGTAATAGAACGGATAGAAGCCACTGTCCTCCCAGTCAATAATTCCAGTGACAATATATTGGCCGCTAGAACCGGGATCCTGCTTCACCATTATATTATCAGTTCGCACATCGCCATGGGTGAACACCGATTCATGTGCCAGTGTTGAGGTGTCATGTTCCAGAAAAGAGCGCAAAAGTCCAACATAAGTGGCACTTCCATGATGTCGAGCGGAAAACTGTAAATCACTGTACTCTTTTGTTGTCGTGATGCCTTTGAACAGGGCGCATTCGTCGACACGAAGCTCCTTGACTCCCTCTCCACAAGTTCCACCAAGCGTACTAGTTCCCTCTTTCTGTCGAATCTGTCTTAGACTGCAGAATATATCATCAAGCTGGCGCTGGATCAAAAGCTTGTTCTCATGTGACAGGTTAGGCCATGCTTGGGTCAAAGTCATGTCGGGAACATATGACATGAATATCACACGAAAAGGGCCAAATGCTACCAGCCCATGGGGCCTCGGGGCAGGAATGTGGGGCGCCTGCTTCTCAAGAAATTGCATGCTAGTGTACTCCGTGTAATCCCTATTCCCTGTTATGACTTTGGCAACAATGTTTTCGTTGCACTTAACCACCATGCCTCTTACAGGACTCTGCCAGAGTTGTGGTGAGTTCCAAAGCAGCGTTCTCAAGGATGATACGAGCGATTTCCTATCACCGAGCGAAAATTGATCCCCGTCCGGTTGTGGACATCCCGCAAGCAAAGCAATAACTTCATCGGATAACGGATAAATGACTGTGGCAGTCTCCGCACGGTCGAGGTGACGCTCTCTGAATTCAGGCGCCTTCACCTCATGTTCTTGTTTTTCCTTCGACGCGGCTTTCGCTCCAAGCGCCATTGTAATTCGGCGAGTATAGTTCTTCGGGAATTCTGATAGCAGGTTGGCTTCCGGGTCACATCGCAGGACGTCTTGAAGACCGCTTAATACACGGCGATTGATAAGTCCGGCATAAGACAGCTGACTGTCAAGGGCATTTTGATGTTCACAGAGGTAAGCCTCAGAGAACATTGACATCAAGTCCGCCGCTGGATCCTTCTCCAAAGCGGCCTGGAACTCAAGCATTAATTCTCTGTTCCAGTGTGCCGCGTCAGGATGGGATAGTGAGACTGGCTCTGATTTACTGCCCATTTTGGCTAATTATAACAAAGTGCTGCTCATAAGTAATGAAGTTGCAAAGAATTGGGTCACGGAGCTTATTATAGCGAGGGGTCGCAAACAGGCATCAAAGCGGCCACGTGCCCGGCTCGGGCACCCATATAATGCCATACAAAAGACAACTTCAAAGTTCTACAGACTGTAATGTCTACTAGTGATGATCTTACTCCTCAATGTGTCTAATTTACCACGACTTGACTTGGCTTATGCTGTGCCTGAAGTCACTCCACATGCAGTAATATGATAGTACAAAGGTGGCTGAAGGAGCTTGCTCAGGGCAGATTCCGCCATAATGTCTAGGATAACCTACAGCTTACCCAGTTGAGAGAATGCTAACTGGTAACTGTCTTGGTATTCACGCAGATCGAAGTACACGACGCCATATCTACAGATTCCACAGTCTCAAAACCCCATCCGCGTCCGGAACGACCAGCAGCTGAGCACCACTCGAAACAGCCATCCTTCCCTCAGGGCTCGTGTCAATTTTATCCCCCGCACCTCTCGTAAACTGCTGCTTGAGATTACTTTGGAAATCATACGTCTCCACCGTCCCCTCCTGGGTCCGGAACACCAACTTTCTTCCCTCATCAACGAACTGCACGCTTTGAATTCCTGCAAAGCTCCGCATCACGGGATCCTCAAACGCCAGACGCCATTGCATCCGTTCCTCGCCGGTCAACGGATCCCAAAGACGCACTGTGCCGCTGTCCCCTCCTGCTGCAATTACCGTACCGTCAGGGCTCCAAGCTAGGGTGCGTGCCCAGTGACGGAATCCGTCGAAGCGAGAGACGGACTGTCCTGTGTGAAGGTCGTAGACATGGATATGGGTTCTGGGGCTTCCCTGGCTGATAGCGAGGTACTTGCTATCGGGAGAGAAGGCGCCGCTCCAGAGCTGACAGTCCCCGAAACCAAACACGTGAATACAAACTCCGGAGTTGGCATCCCAAACTCGCGCAGTGCCGTCCCATGCGATGGACGCGACTAGAGTATTGTCTGGACTTATCCCGGCCCACATGATAGAGTCTGTATGGCCGAGCAATCGGTGTCGAAGAGACCGGCTCTGCGTATCCCAGAGATTGACACATGGGAGGAGAGCAGGGTCACGAAGTCCGTGCTGGGTTGTTTCGTTCTGACTGAGATAGATCATAGTCCTGCCATCTGGGCTGAATGTGGGGCTACCGAAGGAGGCCAATTCGCCTTGAAGACGGAATTTGCTTTCTTGTTCGTGTAGACTGACGGCATTTTGGAGAGCCTTTTTCATGGCCTGTTCAATAGCCCCCATGGCTTTTTCATCACGTTTCCAGCCGTAGTTCGACACTAGGTCTGATACAAGGGGCTGTAGAGTTTTGCTCGTGAGGGTGTCAACGTCAACTGGCCTTTCTTCCTTTTGTCGGAGTCTCCCGCGCTCATCCAGCTCCCATAGGACGATCACCGCGAAATCATATCCCTCAGGGCGGTAATCCTCTCCAGCACTCTCTTCAAGATCCTCGCCTGTCGAAACCAGGATGTACCGGGTGCCTTCTGAGCCCACAGTATTGATAATCTTTGGAGCAAACTCGACCTGCTCCACGGCACACGTATGTCCTCTCAACACATCAACACGTTCCTGCGTCTCTGCATTGAAGATATGGATCTCCCTGTCAATGCCCACAGCAATAATCTTACTGTCAGGACTGAGAGCAAGCGCGTTTGCCTTCCCCTCTAGCTGAATTCTTGCTGTTTCCTGACCCCAATATCTGGGATAACCAGGCGCCCAGGCGGCAGGCTCCCCAGTGGGAGAGCAGAAGTCATGCTCAAGGGCATAGACGTAGTTTTCGAAAAACGTGCTTTGGTTCATGCACCTCATTTTCCCAGACAACGAAAGTTGATATAAAGAGTAGTATCTGAGTTTGGGAGAATGAACAAGCTTTATAGTCAGTAAGACAAACTCAGTGAAATATAACGAAGTGAGTCAGTCGGTGAGTGAACGACCACGGGGCTGTGCTGGTAGCTTCAGATAAGACAGTAGCATTGCGAAAGCCTTGTGAGCCTCACGCCAACTAAACTAATTAGTTAGTTCCACCCCACTATGGAGTAGGATTTCTCCGGGCAATGCCACAATCTGTGTAGCCATTCAGATGCTGGGGTCCGGAGATCATGACAACTTGGCGAATGAGTCAGTCTATAGTTCGATTGGGGGCTGCAGGCAACAAGCAATTCCGGATCGGCAAGCCCCACTTGGAAGTTCATACTATGCATTGATAGCTGGTCAAGGGGCAGTCCGGGCACGTGCAGGACATAAATGGATAAACTGTAAGTAGGAAGACTTGGTAAGCAGTACCTGGCATGAAATGACCCAGTGCATTTCTAATTCAATGGTGAGTGAAAGTGGTGTTCGATTAGTAACATGTTCTATCCTCTGCCATTGTGGCGACATGGCCATCAATCAGCTCAGCAATCTAGATCTGGAACCCATGTAATCTGAAGGTATCATATCCAATAGGGTGGGAACTTTGTCTATAGTGGCAGCTACTACATGAAGCCCCGGTCCGATTAACTGATCGACTTATAGCTCCATAATCCATGTGGGCTGTAGATAAGATCGATACTTCAAATATAGACTCAAAGATGTGACATGTACCATTCGCAATCAGTCATAATCACTTTTCGTCCAAGTCTAGCATAGCAACCAATCCGCCGCATTATATCCAGAGTGAAGAGTGTATCCAACCCCATAAAGAAAACTGGCAAAAGGAACAGCAGATGTGAAAAGAACAAATACACCAGTGATCAAGGCCAGCCCAACCACGTCTAGATATATAAACAAGAATCAACCACACACTCGTCAAACCATTTTACTCCTTCTTCTCCTCCTTCGCCTCAGCAGCCTCCTTCTTAGGCTCTTCCTTCTCCTCCTTGACCTCCTCAACCTTCTTCTCCTGTCCATTATGAGGATGCAAGTAATCCGACTCGGACAGACTCATCTTCCTCTTCCTCAACCGGTCCTCCTCAGCAGCAACCATATCCTTCCACAGATCACCCGTGTGCTCCTGCTCAGCATTCTTCCTCTCCTCAGCAGCCTGTCTCTCAGCCTTCACCTTATCCTGCAACAAGCCACGGCCCTTCCTCTGATCCTGGATCTCAAAGGCCGCACTAGCCACCAACACAGCGAGGGTCAAGCCCTGAGCGTAAACTCTGGCCTGGACCAACTTCTGTGATCCACTGAGGTGCTTATTCCGGTTGACCATGGCGAAACTACCGATCATACTAGCCACCCACGTGGCACCGACAATCTTGTACTTCTCGCGGCGGGCCCACTGAAGCGCGCGATCGAGCGTGGAGAGCTGCGACAATTCCTCCTGGCGGAGACGCTCCTCGCGGTTCTCGTACCATTGGCGACTGGCGTTGCGCTGGGCTTCGAAGCTGCGGGAGGCGTGGTCGGCGCTGATGATACCCACGAAGGTACCGGAGGAGGTCACGAGGAAGGATTTCATGGGGAGAGTGAGGTTGCGGATGGTTTGGTAGCGCCTAGTGGCGGCGAGAACACCGGCTGCGCCGCCTACCAGACCGATGAGACCACCGATAGTACCGCCCTTAACGACCTCGCTGGAAAATTGCTGGGTTAGTTACTTGGTTCGAAAATTGGGTGGCGGGGAGGGCGGAAGTACCGGTAGTGGGCATCTTCTTCTTCTTTGGTGAGGATCTTCATTGTGAGGGTTTTATGTGAAGAAGCTGTATGTAATTGATTGCAATGGAGGTAGATATGTATGTATTGAATGCTTTTTTGTGGGGGGGAGGAGAGAGAATTGAAGAAGGGAAGAAAAGCAGAGGGTGAATGATGCTAGAAATACGTGCAAAGCCCGGGTGACGTACGATCTGGACGCCCGGGGTCTGCGGCAGAGACTCGGACCATCCGGCGTTTGCCCGGGATTTTGGATAGCGTCGCCGAATTGCAACCGTTTTTACGGCTTTGTTCTACTTTGTAAGCTGCGTCTCGCGCGAGAACGCCCGACCGTTTATCTAGTGCCTTCCCATTCGCTATGGCATGATCCAATGATACACATTCCGCCCTGCGCCGTCACCCGAAAAATCTACGAAATTAAACCTGACATACATATGAGATCGGAAAAGGAAATAGAACAAAAAAGGTACAGCCAGAAGAATAAAGAATTAATAATTGAAGGAATGAAATTTCTTCAACGACGGGATCCCTTGCTCGCCGCAATTTGCCGCGCCCGCATCTTACGGAAGCGATCCTCGCCGCTCGCTCCCAGAGGTCGCGCAAACTTGCTCTCCTGTACCATCGTCGGTCGCGGCACCACCGTATAGCTCGTGTGAGTCATGTCAGCGCGCGCGCGGTTCGCCAGACGAGGAGGCAGTAGCTCACGGGCACGAGCCTCTGCAGCAGTGGCCTGTACCGATTGAGGGCGTGTCGTGCTCAGTTTACTGTTCCAGTCAGTGATACATTCGAGGTAGTAGGGTCTGAGTAAGGCATGAACATACGTAGGATCAAAGGCAGCCTCCTGGTATACCCTCTTCGAGTAATCATCGCTGCGCTGGAGGATCGGGCGCGTCCATTCGGCCAGCAGGCGCTCTGCCATGCGCTTGATGCCGGGCTCTGGACGCTTGCTCCGCGTGTAGAAGACAATGACCTTGCCGATACCACTGGCAACCAGAGCCTCCTTGTTGATCGGCAGCTTGCCCAGCGCAGTCATCAGATCCCGCTGAATGTTGTACGCCGGCAGGGAACCATCATCCAAGGGCTCCAGGAAGAATTTGACCGCTTCCAGCAGGTTGATTTCGGGGTCGACCAGACTGTTGACGTATTGGTTGCGGTTGAGCAGCGAGACCACCTCAGGAAGCATCTTCAGCTTGTGCATGGCAGGCTTGCCCTCGCGACGGTTGATAGCGTCCATCTGCGCGGCGTGGGTCATGCGCTTGCGCATATCTTCGATTTCAGCATCGGCCATTTGTTCCAGGTCCTGTTGGAGTCAGCCATCACCCAGCAAAGTAATAGAAGTAAACATACAATGCCATCAGCCTTTCTAAACCGTCTCTTGGTCGGCTTCTTCAACGCCTCGTCCATCGCGCGATCAAGCGCTCTTCGCCGTCCTAAACATAGCAATTAGCATCATCCATGCCATCTTCAGCAGTAAGAAACATACTCGTAGCCGGATCCAACAACTCCTCTTCCGCAATCTCTGCCTCCTTCTTCTTTCTCCTCCGACTAGCCTTCTCCTCATCACTCGCGCCTCCATCCTCCAACTCCCTCATCCTGCGACTCTTCTTCTCGCGACGTCCCTCTCTCTTCCTCTTCGAGCGCTCTTCATCCCCGCCCTCAGTACGCTTCCGCTTATGCCGTCCGATCAGCTTCAAGTTATCCTCATCGATCGCCAGCTGCGGCCGGTCCTCGATGTCGACATTCTCGGGATCGAAGTCCTCGAACTGAGCTTCGTCGACTTCCGAAAGGATCGATTCGTCGTCGGAGATCTTGTCTTCGTCGTCATCGTCATCATCGTCGCCACCATTGTCTTGCGCGGCCTCTTCTTCTCCTTGATCTTGTTCTTGTTCTTGTTGCTCTTCGGCTTCTGGCTCTGCCTCCGCCTCTACCTCCTTAGCGGGTTCTTCGTCGGAAACGGCGTCGCCGCCGGGCGTCGGGGGCGCTTCCTGTTGTTGTTCTTGTTCATCCACTTCAGCGGCGGGCTTGAGCTCGGGCTCGGGACTGCGCGGTTCGGACATGATTGTGTCTTGTGATATGGCAGTTGTGGGTGGGTTGGGTGATTATAATACTTTCTCCCCTGATGAGGAGTGGTCGGGGTCGGCTAGACCAGGTTTCGTGAAGCGTAGATGGGATAGATCGATTCTCAACACCTTATTTGCCGGGATTCCAGTTCTGTTTGTACACTGTATATGCTGAGACGAGTTATTCCTTGAGCGACAATCAAGGTAATGAGAAAGAAAGATGAGAGAGAGAAAAAGCGAAATGAAATGGCAGGTTTAGTAAGTAGTAACACCGAGCAACCGCGCAAGAAGTTGAAGCAAGCAAGACCCGATGCAAGCAGATTCCGCCTCCGCGGTGGTCTGTGCGCGGCAGAATCGAAACCCATTCATTCATTCATTAACTAGAGAGTTATTCAACCCATTCATCATTTCTTAAAACATACATCTATCTGTCTCTCCATTAACCCTTCACCTATAAACCACTATCACAATGTTCGCTCCAGGTGAGTCGGATTTCTTATCATCAAAATAATTGTTTCATGCTAATTGTTACCAGGCCAGGAACAGCTCTCCAAGGAGGAGATCAGAGTATTTCACCCAATTCCTCTTCATCGTCATCATCGACCCCGAGCAGAACATACCATACTGACATTCTATTTTTCTTCCTTTTTAGGCCGGTGAGGTCCAGGCTAACCAGACCATCCGCATGGCTGTCTCCGGTGGTATCCTGCTTTACCTTTGTGAGTTCTTCGCATGCCCCAGAATCCTGTTCTACGAACTAACAAACGAACAGCTCCCTTCGCCATCGACTTCGTCAAGAAGTTCCTGTAATCGCGTGTCGACTACTTTTGTTTTCCTCTTTACAACACACAATGCATACAAGGGATAGGAAGGAAGGGCATCGCATAATGTATTATATTGTACATCTCGAGTTGCAGAAATGAATATGAATCTCAAATGACCAGCTGTCACGGTTACTTTTTATGCTCTATTAAACCACGTCTCGTGTGCAAGACGTGCGGATACCAGCTCCTATAAACTCCATGCTCCAAACAGCACAAGCCAAACAACCAGACAGTCCCTCAATTCATAATATGATGGAATCGCAATCAAGCATCAACAGCATCAGTGGTTCACGGCTCCCCCGGGAAGCTTCTGTGCCTCCTCAAAGTCCTTTCTCACTGCTTCGAGTTCCTTCTGCAAGTGTTGGATTTGCGTGTGGTAGTCATCCAATATCTAGATATTATTAGCATATGTAATAACCATGACCGGAGGTAAGCGACTTACCTTCTTGGCCGTCTTCATCGTCTGCTCGTCCAGCTCGTCATCCGCCTGCGCCGCCGCGCTGGGCCCGGCCCGCTCCATCTCCTGCTGTAGACGTCTCGAGTGCTCCCGGATCGCCAGCATGCGCGCCCAGATCTCCTCCGCCCGTCCGTTCAGTGACGGGTCAAAGACCGACCGCTCCAGCTGGCTGAGCTTCTTCTTCAGCTCCTCCTCCGCGTCATCCATGGCGTAACCGCGATTCCGCAGCACCTGCGTCTTGGCCGCAAGGGCCAGACACCGCTTGCTGAGGACGAGGTGCTTCCGGCGGCAGTCGGCAATCTTGACCGAAATTTTCAGATCGTGCCGAGACAGCAGATCCGACAGGCAGTTGTTGATCTCGTGGAGTCGCGTCTGCATCATAGTGAGGAAATCCTTCTGGCGCTGTGCGCGCTTGCCTAGCTCGAAAAAGCCCTTGACAAGCACAGGCACATATCCCGAATCGGGCCGCTTCCGCAGCGCATCCTCCCATTTTGTGTCATCGTCCTCCGGACCCGGCTGGTAAAATGGTGCCATTTCGTCGCCGACATTGTTATACAAGTACGCGCGGAAGGGCGAGGAACGGCTGGACGCATCCCACTTGTCCTTTACGATCTGAATCTGCATCGGTACGGTGCGGTGGACTACAACCATTAGCATGTCTAACATATAGCATTGAAATCATCTTCAACATACCTCCGGTAACTGCACGGCCCGGCTCCCACAGACTCGAACCGAGCTGTGCCGTCGACTGACCCATCTGAGTCTGGCCCAATTGGGGCTGCTGCTGTTGCTGCGCCGGTTGCTGTTGCTGCTGCTGTCCTCCTAGTAGAGAGCCTCCGAACAGACTCGGTTGTTGCTGCTGTTGCTGAGGCTGCTGCGTCTGACCCAACCCACCAAACAGACCACCACCCTGCTGCTGCGGCGCCTGCGACTGCTGTTGCTGACCGAACAACCCGCCTCCACCTCCTCCAAGGGGTTTCTGCCCGAACAAGCTCCCTCCAGTAGTCTGCTGTTGTTGCTGCTGGGGCTGTTGCGTCTGCCCCAATCCTCCGAAAAGACCACCCCCGGCTGGCTTCTGTTGGGTCGCGGTTTGGCCGAACAGTCCGCCGGATGGCTGCTGAGTCTGCGTGTTCGCGGCGCCGCCGAAGAGACCTCCTCCCGACGGTTGCTGAGTCTGCGTCGCACCTCCGAACAATCCGCCCGTGGTGTTCTGCTGCGTAGTGTTTGTCGTCGAGGTATTTCCGAAGAGACCACCACCTCCGCCGAAGGGACTGGGCTTATTTGCGGTGTTGTTGGCTTGTCCAAAGAGGCCGCCGCCCGTGGACGGGGCCGCAGCTTGACCGAAAAGAGACATTGCGAGTTGCGTTGTGCTTAGGTTAAATGGCGAGGAAGATAAGAGGCGATATTGAGAGCAACACGGTAGTGGAAGGAACAATTGAAATAAATAAGGTCGGTCACTCCGCAACGAAGGCGCAATAACACCCAATTGAACCCAAGTCGGTAAATACCGAATCTCTATTGAATGTCAACAGTGTAAGAATTAGCAGGTGCAATGATGCGACTAGTCCACAACACACAACCAAGTCCAACGAGGAAATAGAGGGGATACCCACAGACAAGCAGCAGAAATGTAAGCGCAGTGCGCGGCATCAACAACAGCCGGGCAATGCTGGCGTGAGTCCATCGGGAAGCTTTGTTTTTCGCACGGTTACGGTCACGTGTGGAGCTCCTTCATGCCTGAGGCAAGAAACAGCCAGCTACCCATTGATGCCTGAGAGTACAGGCCATTAGCAGATTACCTAACCCAGCCATCCCAACCAATCAGCAACGAGCAAAAACCACTCCTTCCAAACTCGCAGCTTCACCTTCCACTCGGACCCGGCGAACCATCTCCATCAATTCGATCCCCCTCTCCTCGACTTCTCCCCCCAGATCCGGTCCATTGAGTCCTACGCCCAGCGGTCACCATGGCGTCCAGAGAGCCCCAGTACGTTGAAATCCTGCCAATCCCCCAATCGACCACTTCCACGGGTTACCCTTGACTACTACACCACCACGACATATAATACGACACATACATACATACATACATACTCGCAACGCAATTGAACAATGACCAGCTCTTTCTAACGGAAATGACTACCTCAGGTTTAACCAGCAGGTGCTGGTCGACACGACCCCCATGCCCGATCACATCCCCAAGGTGGAGGAGATCGGTGCTACGTCGGCGCCGCTGTACAGCGCGGCCTACTTTATCGGAGACCGCTGCAAGCCCTACAACGACGACTTCATGAAGTGCAAGGACGAGTCGAACGGGCGCGGAGAGCTGGACTGTCTGAAGGAGGGTAGAAAGGTGACGCGCTGTGCGGCTAGCGTGTATGTTCCCATGCTCTGTTCCATTGGCTTTCAGAGGGCCATTGAGCGATGAATCACCGCGGAAGGAATACTGATTCAACGGATCTGCAGAATCAAGGACATCAACACCCACTGCCTGAAGTCGTTCACCGCTCACTGGGAGTGCCTCGAGAACAACAACCACAAGCTCTGGGAGTGCCGTGCGCAGGAGATGAAGCTGAACAGCTGTGTTTTCGAGAAGCTGGTGCGTTTCCTCCTTCATACCTTTATACCTGATTGATTTCCATTTCTGGTTCAACTCTGGTCCGTATACTACAAACCAATACTAATTGAATGGTATAGGGCCTGAAGAAGGAAATCCCCGGAACCCCCGAGAACGTCGTCCCCGTGCACTTGCGCCCCAAGCAGATCTACTCCGACTGGCCTGGTCGGCAATATTAAAGAAATACAAAATGAAATATTTTGAGGGGAGCATATATCATTGTGTTTTTCTTAACTGAACCACTACTACTAACTTAACGTGTCTTTTGTATTCCGGTGTTTTCCTTTTGTTTTTCTTCTCCGTCTCTCTGGTTGACGTCTGTTTGTGTATATATTAGCATATCAGGAATGTCATTGGTTCCGAGTCAGTCAGTTTGGATACTACGTAGTAAGATGATTGCTGTTGAGTTGCTATAGATATAGATATGAATGATATCAGATGATAATGATGCATACACTATAATCCAGGCTCCAGATCTATAGACTGTAAATCACCTAGAATACAAAAGTGTACAACCAGAACACCGCAGAAAATGCAGGCAGCTAACCACTGCAATGAAGTAGAATATCTCAGAAAGAAATAGAGAAGTAGACAGACAACCTCTAATAATCAGCCTGACACAATAACAAAAGAAATAAATAATAAAAGAAAGAGGTATAGGTATAGGTATAATAAGTAAGAATAAGAAAGAGAAGAGATGAGAAGAAGAAAAGGTATATATGTATATGTACCAGAAAAGACAAAAGAAAGAAATGATGGCAGAAAGAACCTCAGGAGGCCTTATCACCAGACGAAGATGAAGATGAAGATGAAGACGTAGGAGATGCGGACACCACTACCCTCCTAACCCTCCTAAACAGCATCAAGAAGACCAACCTTGTCTTCACCTCCGCCCAACCCACCTTCAACTTCTCCTCTAACCTGCGATCTCCCCGCAGCCTCATCCAGATCAGAAGCATACCGAGCAACGCCAAATCGACCATGATCTGCCGTGCAGCGACCCAAACCAACCACTTTAACCAGGCCCACAGGCCTGTTCGTCGACGATGGGCTAGCGCTCGCGCTTCCAGTTGTTCTCGCACGGCGGCGATCTCGGCGGTCATGGTCGTCAAGGCCTGCTCGACGGTGCGACGCCAGCGTTTGGAGTCGTCCGGGGGTGGTTGTGGTGGTCGTCGTCGTTGTCTTCGACTTAGGGTAGTATCGTGATCGTAGTCTTCCTCCTGGTGGGAAGGGAAGTTGTACCCTTGTTGTTGTTGATGATAGTCATGCGATTCGTGACGGTCGTGAGTGTTGTTGTTGTAGTCTTCTTCTTCCTCCATATGTTCTTCTTCTTCTTCGTCGTTGTCGTCTTCATTTTCGAATAGATTATCTTGCGCTTCTGCGTACACTTCCTCCTCTTCCTCCTCGTCTTCTTCCTCTTCAGGTGGTTCATCCTCCATCTGTCGTCGAAACCCCGACTCCGCCTGACTAACCGGACTCAACACCCGTAATCTCTCACTCCCTCTCCCTCTAGCCGTGGTAGCAAGTAACTGCTCATACTCCGGACGAGTCAATCTATTACTAGACTGGTGGAACTGCTGATGCTGCTGCTGAATCCGTGCATGATCCCGTATGGACACCGCTGCCGCCGAAGCCACCGGACTCCCCAGGCCCTGAGACGACGACATAGACGACGAAGACGGGTTGGATTTGATCTGATCCCAGACGAATTCCAATTCTGCGACGAGTTCCCTTGCCTCGGCTGTTTGGGAAGCGTAGTTATGCATGGTTTCGATGAGGGTGGAGATGTAGCGTCGTTTGGCTTCTGTGCGGGAGAGACCTCGTTAGGCGTGCCATGCGTCCCTACGTTATATTTGCTATTAGCATTTTGATACCGATCGCATAGAGTAGAAGAAGGGGGGAAGTATACCATTTCTCACACTCCATAAACACATCCGCGGTATTCCCGACCGGTCGATCCATGACGCCTTCAACATCGCCTTCTACATTTCACAAATAATTCCTCGTCAGCATATCCCATTACAGTGTCATCAACGTAACACAAATACTCCCCAGTGTATAAAAATGGAAGTGGAGGAAATACCCATGCTCTGCTTATACAAGCCATAAAGCTTCAATCTCTCCGACGCCGGCGGTCTAGCGGTCCCCGTGCGGGGAATGCGTTTCACCGTGTTAAGGGCATGGACGAAGACACGATCTGGACATCATATCGATCAGCACATTATCTCCTCCCAGATAATATTCGCTCCTCCAATAATTATCCAGTATAGTATGTATTGTAGGTAAAGGTCGGGGTGATCAACGCACCCACTGAATCCGACATGGTGCGAGGAACAAGACGTCGGACGGCTTCAGCAACATGAGAGCAGACGGGGACGGGAGTGCGCGCGATGATGGGTCCGCATCAGTGTCTTGCTGTGTGGTGTCTCTGTATTGGAGAGTAGTTGCGTTGTGGTGTATTGTTTTATCGGTGCGAGCAAGAGTGTGTGTGTTGAATGTGTTGGAGTCGGAGCTTCCCCGGATTTCGGCCAAGGGAGAGGGAGAGAGAGAGCGAATGCGCGCGCAGGGCTCGTGGTAGTTGGTTTTAGGGGAGATATAATTCGAATTGGATATGGTAGGGTTCAGCACGCGTATAGAGCTGGTTGGTCGCGTGGGGATTGTTTGGGAGGGAGGGAGTGTGCGAGGCTGCGAGCTGAGAGATCGGTGGTGTGGTGGTTGTGGTTGATTGCTTGATGGATGATGGGGAGCGATTGAACCGCGGTTGTCGGAGTTTAGTCCCTCTCGCTGCTCAGCCAGCCCAACTTGTGATTGATCGGCTATCTATCGATCTATTAGATGCACCATACTTCGCGCCATTACATTCATGCTTTTTACTTATTCTGAAGCGACTTCTTTATGGACAATACTATCATCAAATATAGCTTCTTCTTTTTGTAGATGCTAATGTATAAGTAGTATATTCATTATAGCTTCGAACCTAATTATATACAAACAAATCGCTAATAGGCTTTCATTCCTTCCCCTCCTTCTCATGCGCCGCATAAGTATTCTCTGTATCGATGGGCTTCCCCGTCATCACACCGGGCATATCCTCGTCCGCAATTGGTGGCCCTGTGAAATGCTTGCGCGCGTACACCACATACCATAGGATACTGATCGCCGCAAAGCCGGCAAACACCACACTGGCGTAGTTCATGCTACTCGCATCCACCGGCAACGAAGTGGGCATGCAGAAGAGCACCACAGCCAGGCAAATCCAGCAGATGGATACGATGTTGATCGCGTATCCGAATCGTCCCAGCGAGAAGCTGGATTCCTTGACGGCTTCGCGTCCCCGAAGCACGCAAATGAAAATGGGAAGGCCATACGAGATGGACAAACAAATGGTGGCTACACCCGTAAACGAGTTGAAGGCCGCCGAGGACCCAAAGTAGATCAGCCCTAACAGGCAATCGACGACGGTGGAGAGGATGATGGCCCACACTGGCACATCTAACTTCTTGTTCACTTTCCTCCAGAGTCGGAAGCCGGGGATGGCTCCGTCACGAGCAAAGGCATACGTGCATCGACTGGCCGCCGTCAATGCGCCAATCCCCGCAAATACTAGGATGCCCAGCACCAGGAACAGCAGCCCGAAGCCTCCGCCAGCGGAGCCGGTGGCTGTCTTGAAGATGAGTCCGATAGGCTGGCCGCTGGCCACAGCCAAAAGGGTCTGCACCGGAGGCAGAACAAACATGATGGGGATCAGGTAGACAAGACCCGTGATACCGGCCGCCACCACTGATAGCACAATGGCCTTGGGGACCTCCCGATGCGGGTTCTGCACTTCTTCACACATGGCAGCCACCATTCCGTATCCAGTGAGTGTGTATGCTGCCTGCAGCAGACCAACAAAGAACGCCCAACCAGCAGGCCTAAACATTATCAGCACGAGTCCATGAGCAGCCCCGGAAAAACAATAGATAGGGGAACCATACCATCCACTCTGCGAAGCATCATAATGCGCAAAAACAAACTCGGCATCGCGTCTCTCATCCGCCATGGTCAAAAGTGTCACGAGAATAATCACGACACTCCCCGCCGTCCAATAAATGCACACTTTATTGATCAAATCCAACCATTTGGAGAAGAAGATATTCACCAACGCACAGCACCCAATCACCGCCCAAAACATGAGAATAGTCTGCCAGGTATTGGCGACAAAGTCCTCATTCCAGAGCGAAATGGCACTGAGGATCAACTGCCCTCCCGAGAAAGTGATACTGAGTGTGACGGTCCAATTGCCCACGAGGGTGAGCCAGCCATCGATGAAGGACATGGTGGGGGCCCATTTGCGCGTGGAGAGCATGGCACTCCAGTAGTAGACTCCGCCGGCGGTGGGGTAGACGGCGCAGATCTCGGCCAGCGAGGCGGCAATGGCGATGGAGATGAGGGTGACGACGACCCAGCCCCAGATGACGCTGACGGATTGGCCGTCGGTGAGGGTGATGTAGAGGGTGGTGCTGAGGCCGAAAGGGGCGGCCATGATGGCGAAGGAGCTGTTGATACATTGATCTCGTGAGTAATGTCCCCCTCCCTACTAGTAAATATGTATGATATGCTGGAATGGAAAACATACAGGCCAAGAATACTCATCATACTCAAATTGCGAGGCAATTCACTCTTGTAGCCCATTCTAGCCAACGCCTCGTCGGCGTTGGCGTCCATGGAAGGTTGTCGCATGATGGGCAATTGCTGAATCAAGAAGTCGTGTGTCTGTTCTTTATAAACAGAAAAAGAAGCAAGTAATTGTGTTTCCACTAGAATTATCTCTCAGGAATTCAAGTCTTTTAATTTAGGACAGACATATCGTCATTAAAAGTAAATCCAGATCCCAAAAAGTAAGGGATGGGAGTAGCGGAGTGAAGAAAATAAAACAAGGAAAAGGAGAGGGAGAGGGAAATACGAGCAGGATAAATGAGGGGAATAAGAAGGAACGAGAGAGAAGAAGAGGAACAACAGTTTCCAGTTCCTGAACTCAACTGCTACTACATCATCCCCCGCACTTACACTGTTTTAACTCTGTCAATTCCATAACAATCCACCCAGGATATCCACACCAAACCAGAGACAACGACAACAACTGAATGGAGAGTCAAGTCTCCATCAATTGTCACTTGCCAATGAGAATCCTCCTCCCCGCGATAAGCTCCCCGACTAAAACTCCTCCGGTGTCGGGCTAGTGGTCGGCGGTCCGAGACCGCGCTGATAAGCATGATTAACACCCATTTCTCCCTGTTAGATAGTTAACAAGGTAGTTATTTAGTTAGTTATCAGCCCGATGATGACTTGATCCTATCTTTTATACTTCTTATCAGATTTGTATATACCTTTTAAGAAAACCTTCATCAAATGAAGAAGATATCATCAGTCCCACTTACCTGACTACTTACCACCCGTATAACTAACTACATCATCACCAACAATGTATGTACTCAGTGCAGCCAATCCCCCCTGACTGGGTTCTTTAATTCTTTAATGCATCCATCCATGCATATTATTCTCCCCGCATCTGCACGTTCGGAACCACTACATCCTTTCCTGCAGTGTCGTGTACATCATAAGCTAGGGCTCGTGACACTTAGCCAAGACAGACACGAGGGCGAGAGACAAAGCTTCAACTTAATACTTATTTTATAGCATTGATGCCTCGGAAAGGGTTCCCGCCGGATAAGTTGGACTGACTGGGTCATGGCCTCCGCGCGGTTCTCCCCTCTCCTTTCCTTCTCCTCTGTGTGTGTGGGTGGGGGGACATCCGCTCGCTCCTCACTTTTGCGAACCATGGTGCTGAAATGCCTGGTTCGTGGGGTAACAGAGTGGATGCCGGATCTGGGTCTGTCTACGAGGGAATACTACTACTGCCTAAATTGACTACATCTGGTTTAAATAGTACTGGTACTTAGTATGATACTGTAGGGTATATCTGGTGTGATGGCAGGATATATATATATATAGTACTACAAAATCTAGCACTCTTCCTCGGGTCAAATAATAGTATGATTTCTAGCTATTTCAGAGTTTCACAACTATCCATTTCCAACGTACATCACGGCTGGTGTCTTGTCACTCACTACTACTAAGTAAGTGACGGCTGCCACATCCATTGCCACCCCTCACCAGCAACACTCGAGCCTCTTGTCGGACTCCAGCGCTCAAACAGGGCATCGGGCAAGGATGAGCGCCACGGAATAAAGATAGAGAAAATGCGGGGGGAGAAAGCGGGCATGAGGGGGAGGGGATAACAAACACATCAGGTCGACCGAGAGGGTAAGATCCGAACGAATAGGAAAACACAGGGGAAGGGCATGTAGGTGGGGGGTATCAAACAGGGGGAAAGTGGTTCACTATAACAGAGACAAGTCCATCATCTTCGCAGGAGAAAATCCATTGATATCGAAATGGAGGTTTTTGTGTTTGTCTTTTGTGATTTTCTTTTTTTGTGTGTGTGACATGTCTAGTGTACGTGCGGACCAGAAGTAGAGGGGCGAAAGTAGGCCCCAATAGCTCTCCAACAGACAGAGATAAGGTAGGGAGAGGGTCCAGGCAGGCAGAGGAAAGGTGACAGGGGGCACGGTAGATGGTAGGGAAGATTGGGGCAACGAAAGCAGGGAAGAGGGATGGATATCGACGGGGGAAACAAATGATCGCGGGAACGGCGGTGGGTGGGCCAGCCCGGGCATCAAGAACGCCTGGCGTTGGGTTGGATATGGCGGATGGCCACCTGGCCGACTTGCCCACCGCCACTTTTTGAGGGGGGCCAGCCGGTCGCTCTCCTTGATTCTGTATACTGAACTCCTTCGCCTTCACCACTTCAATCAACTCCCTCGCAGACAATGAAAACATGATCATGCACGGCCTCCAGTAGACAAGGCCTCAAGTTGAGTCGCAACCAGCCAGCTAGCTTCAACTCCGTCGTCAATGATCATCACCCAAGTGATCACGAAAGGAACCGTTCAAAAGCACAGAAATGGGAAAATGAAAACAAGCAAAACAATTCGCAAACGCCCAGTCATGCAGTCGTCAATCCAGATAAGTCGTTACATGTTGATGCAGTGATAATAGCACGCCAAATACAATGAGGTCACGCACGCACGGCCCCCAGCATCATGGGCTCAGAACGTTGCAGATGTCGTCCGTTCCATCCAGGCCAAAGCCGGCCATGTCGACGGAGTGCAAAGAACCCGGGCCACCACGGCCCAGAGAGATATCTGAGGAAGCATAGTCATGCTTCAGCCGTTCATGGGGTCCAAAGAACGGCCGGGTCTCTTCGTTGGGGGTGTTACCATCACCCGCTGCCCAAGGCCCATGCTGCCAGAACCTTGTGTTGGCTTGTTGGTCCCCGAAGAGGTCATGGTGGTCGTGATGGGTCTCGGTCCCGTGATTGGTAAAGTCATTAGGCGACTGGAACCGCAGATGCGACCGACTGAAACTCGAGCATGGAGAATCGGCATGCAGCGGGAAATCGAGGTTGGGGAATGGCATGTCCTCGACTGTGGTGATGTCGATGGTCGGGTTCTCGGTCTGCTGTGCCAGCGCTGACGCTAGCCGGAGGTTGGAGGCGGAGCTTTGGCGGCTGTGACTAGCCGACCGTTCGATGGCTCGCTGAACGAAACTGCCACACGTCTTCAGAATCTTTTCCTGATCCTCTGGGGAGAGGCTGGCAAAGTAGTCATTTGCCAAAGAGGGCTTGGGCAGTTCGGGTTGGCAGGGAGTCAGGCCAAAGGTCTTCTGAGCATACTCCGTAAACCCGGAGGGCATGTCGTATGGGGACTGGTAGACGGTCGGAACCTGCTCCCGTTGCTGCTCAAGGTAGGCATACTTGCGAGGCAACTTAGTGGCGGCCAGGCTACCTCCGTTGGCGGACTCTTGCTTGATGTTTTCCGACTCCTTTTTCTGCAGCACGTCCAGCCGATCCCGATGACTCACCAGCGAGAACCGGAGCATCTGCAACAACCGTGTCACCTCCTCGGACCGCATGTTGAGGGGTTGCAGCGGCAACAATGTTCCATCCGGTGCCCGAGGCTGCACTCGCTGCTGAGCCATGGCCAGTTCCAATTTCTCCAACCCGGTCGGCGGTGGTACCGAGCCCATTGGGCCCAAGAGGGTCTCTACGACCAACTCCGGGCTGACAATGGTATACCCGGCGAAGACATTGGCATGGTCGGTAATCTGGGCCAAGCGACGACGAGCAATGAGCTCTCTGACATTGGCGAAATTATTGGCGGGGAGATTATTGGGGGTCTGCTGCTGCTGCTGTTGATGGTGAAGGTGATTGTGAAGTTGCTGCGGACGGGAAAGGGATTGATGATGATGAGATTTGGTGACCTGGGGATACGGAGCATGGCGGGCTGATTGAGTTGGCAAGGATCGGTAAGCAGACGGCATCGCAGCAGGGGAGGAGGCAGTGGGAGGCGCAGGACGAGGAGGGGCAAGAGGAGCGTGCTGCAACAGGGAAGGGCGGCGGGATGCGGCAGCAGCAGCAGCGGCGGCGGCGGAGGAGTTGGTGGTCGTGGCAGCAGCAGCAGTAGTGGCGGCAGCAGCAGAAACGGCGGCAGCAGCAGCAGAGGCGGTCAAGGGAGACAGGAGATGAGGGTGAGGGGCACCAACACCAGCACCAGCATAATGATGAGGCGGAGCGAGATGGTGGGGGTAGGAGGAGGGGAGTCGGGCCATCACGGCGCCGAGCGACTTGACGCTGTCCAGGAAATTCGCGCGCGGGTTGTGGATAGGCACGCTAGGGCTGTGCGTATACTGTGCCCTACACTCGGTGGAGGATTCGCCCAGGTAATACCAGATCTGTTCGCTCTTGCTGAGGTCGACCTGCGTGGATGGTGGGGCGGACTGGTGGTTAGGGTGATTAGTGCTGTCCACCGTCTCGAACTCGGCCCACTGATACGGAGATCGCCCATCGCCAAATGGATTTCCTGCCACCGGCACTGCCGATTCCAACTCCTTCCGCGCCTCGGGTTTGCGGGCCAAGTGGGCTGGTAATGGCCTGGTACCTGGAGCCAGCGGTGAGAAGTTGCTCCTGCGAACAACCAGCATCCACCGGTACGGTAACTCAATTACGTCCCTGCACATCGAACGGTTAGCCCCTGCGATATCATCCTTGCCCGATCGGGTAATCTCCAAACAAATGATGGAGGCCCGCGGGGCTCTTCATGCAGCCTCTTCGTGGGGCACCAAAAAAAAAAACTTACCCTCGTGGCAGCACCTTGACCAGTAACGTGCGTTCCTCCGGTCGGTTCTGAAGCACAATCGCACCGTTAATTTCCTTGTCCGCCTGGAACTGCACCAGATCCCCAGCCACCAAGCCCCGTGCCGTCTGAATGAGCTTGCGATCATAGTCGGGGGATTCGCCGCTAGCCATCCAGGACGGCTTCTTCTGGCGATGGTACTTGCACTTAAGGTCCACGCTGGGGATCGAGTACTGGTTCCCATCGTCCGCAATCACGGCGATCTGACCCTGCTCCACCTGCACACCCGCCAGAAGTGCACAGGTAGCGTGGTATGACCGTGTACACTTGCCAAAGTTGCACTGGAAGCATGCCCCACGCACTTCACGACAGAAAAGACACTTGAGACCCATGCGGGCCTTGGGGATCTTATCCACGTCACACACCACCTCCTTGCCAGACTCATCGCGGAGGATGGAGGTCTCTTCGGTGTACAAGGCACAGCGACGGTGGGCATGGGACTTGCCATCTTCGGTCGGCAACAGGTCCTCATAATCCAGATTGTTGGGACACAAGACACATGGTATCTTTCTGGGAACATCCATGGCGACCCGCATGCGTTTCGCCTTGGTGGTTTCACCATCATTCTTGCGCTTCCGCCCACGCGTAGATGTCTTTTCTGGAACACTGCGGGGAGGCGTCAAGAGATCCGACGCACCTTCGATCTCGTCAAGATCACTTTCGTATTCGCCGAAATACTCCGGAGTAGCTTCGCCCCGAAGCTTCCGTTCGATCTCGTCAACATCGATCCAGACACTATCGGCCTCACAGTTGCACTTCTTGGCCACGCGGCCGTAATCGAGCCACTTCTCCGTTGCGAAGTTGACCGACTCGGCGCAATTGTACCCCAAATTATAACCGGAATGATATCCATAAGGGTAGGTGATGACGAATTCGCCCTCGTAGTGCACTAACTTGTTCACTGTGATGCCATACTGGGACTTGAGCAGATTCGGCGAAACAAGGTAGGTCTTGTGGCGGAGGAATTGGTCGCAATTCTTGGCGTCACTTTGCCAGATACCTATCGAGTCAACGTTAGCGTCACGGCCTACCCAACATCTGACTTCGGGGATGGAGCCTTACTCTTCATGGCTTGTTCAAAGCGAGGAGCATCTTCTTGAGAGATGCTGTACCACTGCTTGGGAGCACCGAAGTGGATATAGTTGATACTGTAGAGATCCACATCCTCCAGGTGCCATGCGAAAGTAGCTTTCCACATTCCCAGATAAAGGTACGCCGTGTTGACACCAGGCACCTTCTGTCCCAAGACATCCAGCAGATTGGGTAATCGGGCGACATTCCATGAAGTCGTAATGTTATCATCGAAAAGAGATCCCGGCATATCGGCACCGTACATGGGATTGTTGAACATCAGGGATTTCCAGTAGTTGGTCTCAAGCTCCTCGCATCTTTCGTAGGTGTAATCCTGGCTATCATCGATGCGATAATCAAAGTCTTGGAAGGCTTCTTCGTCCACGTAATCGATCGCATCGCCCTTGTTGTGCTTTCTGCGAGATGTGACAGACTTGGGTTGTCGTCCTTTGGGCTTCGGGCCGGGCAAGGATTCGCCGTCGCTCAGTTCCTCGTTTTTCGCCTCGACGGGGTTCGATTCGGGAGACACGGGTGTTGGCGGGCCTTCCGGCTTGATCTTGTCCAGGCCCTCGTCGGCTGGCGGTTCTTCCTTGACCTTTACCTGGTTTGCCCGTTTCGGCGGGCGACCAGGACCAGCACGACGTTTCTGAGAATCCGATCGAGCGGTCTGGGTTTTGGGAGCAGAAGGAGCCCGGGTCACTCGGTCCTGGTTCCGGCGCCGTTCACCTCTTCGCGCAGGTGGTTGGTGACTGCTTTCCTCACACAATGCTTTCCACTGGGGTAGATTGTATGATCTTTGTCTCTCGATGTTCGCTTGTGTGTACGTTCCGTGCGAGCCATGGAATTCCTGCATAATCGGGTTCTTCACACGGATCTTCTTAACGGCTTCATCAAGGGGAGGTAGGGAATCAGTCCTAAAGTCGGTCACATCGGTTAGCGTCCTGCCATGAGCGTCTGTCCGCAAAAGCGCCGAGCCATACCATTCTTTAGGAGGAATAACTTTGATGATTCCAGAGCGCATGCCATACTCCTCGACCTTGTTGATGAACGATTGGAAGTCGCGGAACTGATCCATAGTCTATTGAGATGCCCATTAGCCCAAACCTTGGCCAGGATGGGTAATATGGTGGAGGACTCACCGGCTTGAACACCGGAATCTTGCCGCCGCCGTAGTAATGGTCCGGCTCGATCTCCTCATCGTCCGCCTCTACCGATGGTATCTCCTGGGCGCCGTTGACATTGGGATCGAGCTCGAGATCGGAGAGCTCTGACGGAACTCCATCGGGAACCTCTTTCTTGCCGTTCACGCTCTGGGGAGGCGTGATTGAGGCTGCATCGGTCGCCGGAGCGCCGGCGATCGGGTCAAAAAGGGGTTGATCAAGCGCTGCCGCCATCATCTCAAGATGGGAAGAACGAAGGGTGAAATTGGTCGGAAGTCGATAAGGATGCCGTCGTCGGAATATGCGACCGCTGATCGACGGCAGGAGAGGGAATCCCAGCGGTCGGGGGAGAGGACGTTAAGAGTTCGGAAAGGACTTGTGCTGTAGATCGGTCAATATGGCGCAGGAACCTTCTTGGTAATTCTTGTCGCAGTTTGAATTCCGACGAGGTAAAGGAGGGAAAGAAAATAGAATAGAATAAAAGGAAGGATTATTAAGGCTGGCGAAACGGAACTGGGTATTGGGGGTACAAGATAAGAGAGGTAGTAGTAGTAGTAGCAGTGGTGGTAGCAGTAGTAGTAGTGGTAGTGGTGGTAGTGGTAGTAGTGATGACGAAGGAAGAAAGGGTTGGTGGACTGCAAGGCTGGATGATCCGAGCTCCCAGAGACGAATTGCTGGGTATAGGGATCATGCGAAGCAAGCAGCAGCAGCAGCAGAAAAACACAGGCAGGGAAAGCGATAAAGATAGGGACCGGGTGGAACGGGTGGGTGGAAGTAAAATTAGCAAGTGGATGATGAGATCGGTATCAGCAGCGCAGTATCACCACACAGCATTGGTAGAGAGAGCGCAAGTCAGGTCAAGCAAGCCCCTCCTCCGGTTTGAGGGCAACGGAGCGAGAAGATTTGCCGTGTGGTGCAGGACCAAGCAGCAAAAAGGAAGTTCGTTCGCCAACGAGTGCAGGGCCGATGGGGAACTTTGGACGCTAGCAGCAAAAGCAGGAAGCAAGCAGAAGGCAGGGGGAAATAGCAGAAGAGGGAAAGGGAAGGCGGAATGGCCAATCCCAGCAATCCAGCGTCACGTCGGACGGTCCAAGCTGTGGATCCGGGCCAGAGCGACGATGGCCTGACTGACTTTCTTGGGAAATAGTAAGGAAAGATTGAAGGGGAAATGAGGGTGTGGAAATGCAACAGATTGGTAGAAAGTGGTGAGAGCTGCACTGACTGCACTGAACCAGTCTAGTAGCAGTACAAGGAATAGCAGTAACAGCAGTAACAGCAGCAACCAACCAACCTGCAGCCTGAGCGCCTGAAAATCGAACTGCTTAAGGCACCAACTCCGCGGGCGCGATACTCAGTCGAGTCAAGGCACGTAATGATTTGGTTCCGGCCGCGAGCAGATCTCAGCACGTCTCCGGTGTCGGGAAATGCAGGCAGACAGGCAGACAAGACATGAAACAAACCAAGTACAGAGAGAGATAATAGTATGAGGGAATTTAAAATACTCACTTTATAATATGCCCGAGAAAAGTGAAAGTAAATAAAAAAAAAAAAAAATAAAAGAATGAGCTTTCTCTCCCCGTAAACAGATATGGGAGAGATGATTATCTAGTAGTAGCCTTATTCGTCGTATCGTAGTAGTAGTACTTGGTTTCTTCTATGTGTAATACTTCAGACAACTTCTGGGAAATGTCCGAACGAGTTGCCGCCAGGAAGAATCACGTGCAGCACATGACTGGCCGGGATCAGACACAAGCAACCAGTGCCCGTTACGGTTAGCGTCATACCGGGGGCGAAAAAAAGAAAAATAGGTGTGTGTGTGTGTGTGTGTGTGTGTGTGTTTGGGGGAAAAAAGTTACTGTGGGACGCAGAATACACCACGCGGTAGACATCAGCACGCTGTAGGCTGTGCAGAAACGAAAAATGACTGGGCCTAATTTTTGCATTTTTGGCGAAATTCGGATAGCGGCGGACCCGGCAGAAATTCCCTGGAAGCAGAAAACAACTGCATAGTGCATACTTTTTGACTTCCTTACTTACGCCTAGTACTGCAGTAGTTAGACTAGTAGTAAGTTCTGTCTTAGTGAAGATCAAATGGTCGAACTAAGTTGGTTTAGTTAACACTAACAGGAAGGGGTCTGATCGGTATGATCTCACCAGCCGAGAGTATTATTGGATGGTTATTTAGCCGGTGGTAAAGGCGGCTTTTTGATTTATTACTGAATAATAACTAGACTAGACTAGAGGTATGTCTTTGTTATGGGAAGTTTAATTAGGATAGACGAAGATAGACAGACGGGATATGTTACCGTGGGAATGAATTTACCAGCTAGGCAGGTAACACACATAAGCTGATCCTAAATGCAATAATAAACCATGTACCTACATTAAATCGAATACTACATGTACATATACACCATATAACATGATCATATCTGACCTCGTAAAACAATATAACCAAACTCAAACCTAAATAGCAGTAGTAGTGGTAGCCCAACACACCGGAATGAATATCAACAACACTCGTATCTATTATACACCATCACCATCATCACCACTGATGCCATCGCAACACCATCCAGCAACCATCACACACCAGTCACATACGAAAAGGAATAATCTTTCCTTTCCGACCGACATACATGCTTACTACTTACTACTACTTAAATACGTACATACATACCTACACGTACATATATACACATGCATATGCACGACAAGCTACCTTGGCTGTACTCCGTACTTAGTAGACTAGTACTAGTCATACCCCCAACGCCAACCCAAACCCTACAACTATTTACCAGTACACAGACCCAACTCCAACGTCTTCACTCTTCCCATAACACCCATATGCAGAGATACTACCTTAGGCACTCTTATCACCAAAAACCGATAGGCTACCTACTCCAACCCCAGACACAGACCTCCCCAATAACCCAATAATCCAACTGACCCAATGCAAGTCCACTCTACTACTAGTGAATAGTAAGTAAGTATGTATGTATGCACCATGCAATATGCAAGACAGCGTTGGGCACAAATCTACTTACTTACTTACTACCTTAGCGGGTGGCGTGAACAACCACCACCCTTACTACCTAACAACTGACACTGGCAGATTCACCCAACCCTTCGTGATTGGCTCCCCAGCAGGTAAATCGTTCGTAATCGGGAGGGAGGGTCAGTTGGCACCCATCCATCCATTTATCCATCCGTCCATCCAGAACCACATTCAAATAGAGATAATCACAAAATAAATTGATTAGTTGTTCTACAAATCTTTCTTTCTTTCTTCATTCGTCGATTTGCGTGTCGGGAAAAAAAGAGACTGGGGATCCCGTAATGGCCTGAATGTAAAGTAAATAGTACTAGTATAGTCTACGTGTCTCATTGTTTCCAGTGGCATGATTCTAAGTCTCAACCTAGCGAGATTAAAGGTATGTTACCGGGCCGGTTCTGATGGAGACAATCGAGATCGTGCAAGCTGATTAATTTTAATCGCATTCGTTGTGACGACTTACTAACATCCATAACAGACTAAACTACTAAGTCAATTCTACTATGCACCGGGAAATGAAAACTCAACCGGGGCGCGTGCGTGGCGTGGTCTGCGTCGGCTAGCGGCGTGCGGAACGGATGTACGGAGTACTACTACTGTAGGTAGGACAGACAGCTGTTTCATCGCCATCTGGTTGTGGATGCGGTGTATGGCACCCAAGGTTTATGCATCTCATCCAAAAGAGATGGTGGGGAACTTTCAACGCTGCAAATCATCTATCGCATTGGTATCAATCACGTTGTATATACGCCGAACACCCATCATGGCTAAATCAGGAGCATGAGTGACGGAAAAATAAGAAACTAATCACAATGCATGGACCTTAGCAGACCACGCCAGCTCATCTATCCATACCTACACCAAGGCAGCTTCAATAATCATTCAGCCGCAACTTCTTCCCGACAAACCGACGTTTCTCGGGCTTTTCGGTGCCCCGCTCCCGGTCTGCATTCAGCCCCTTGAGCGCGTGGAGCAGCATCCCTGCATCGAAGAACCCATCTGATTCGGTGGTCAGTAGCTGTGTCGTTAAACGCAAGGGAACACACTTCCAAAGGTGCACTTACATCCGCCCATGCCATCATCCTCCAGTTCTCCGCTGTCCGTCGTGGGTGTCTCGGCACCCCGATGCAGCTGGCCCGGGTCTCCCCGGACGATCCGGCCCCGGCGGTGATCGCCCTGGAGCCGCTCGGCAATCATCTCCATCTCGCGTGCTCTGCTCGTGCGCGGGCTGGCAGGCCGGTGGTTGACCGTGCGCAGCAGCTTTCGGATCTCCATCAGGTACGATTCCAGCGTGTACATCAGACGCGCAGTCTGTCGATGCTTAGACGAGGCGCAGAACGAAATTGAGTCGTCCTTGATTATGTAGCCAATGCCGAAGCCATCTGCAGACGTGGGCCCGAAGCCAAAGTGCCGTAGGCATGGATTACCACAGTTGGAGGTCGACAGCACGGTGGTGTTGATCTTATCCCAGCCAGCGTCGCTGAAGATTGCGGGCATGGTGCGCACCCCACGCACACTGTAGCCATTGGATGACAGTCCATCTTCCGACAACGATGTGGAAGACTTGGGCGATTCAATGGACGCGGTCTCCACAGGGCTAGTGTACCCGTTGGAGCTGCTGATGACGCTGTTGTTCGCGGACGACGCGCCGTCATCAAAGGACCGTTGCCACAGGCAGTACAGCGCATAAAGATGTCTATCTTGTCCCTGACCCTTCGAACAATCCTTCGTGATGGCGGTATGCTTCTCGGTCGCTTTTCGCAGCGCACTCACCTTTTGCTCCGCCGGGTTGTCTCCCCAGAACGTCTTAATAAAGTCGACGCATTCGTTGGTCACCGTCCGGATAGCTTCAGTTCGACCGTGTAGGAAGACTTTAGTCATGGCAGGTTCGTAGGTGTTCTCCATGCGGCCGTAGAGTCCGTAATAGGCTGCTTGGAAGGCCATCTGAACAAATGCATCCGGGGAGAATCCCATGGAAGTGATGAAATTCTTGCCATATCCCTTGAAGTCGAGCACCTGGAACTCATGTTGCTGCAAGAGATCGGAGAGGTGGGACTCGGCGAACCGCAGAGCGATGCTGAGCTCGGGCGCCATATCCCACTCGAGCTTGCGGGGTGTTGTGCTGACATTGCCGAAGCTTCGAGGGTCGCGTTTCGCAGGATCAGGGCTGGAGGTCGCCCAGAGGGTCGGTGCCTGGCCGTTGATCGTCCGAGCAAAGCGGAGTATGGTGTCCGTATAGACGTCGCTGGCAAACCGGAGTACCGTATGGCCATCTACGCCAGTATGTTCGAAGTTGATGCCTGCACTGCCGTTCTTACACACAATGATCTGGAGTTTGTCATACCACCGGTTGGTACAAGTGCCGACCTGCACACCTCGGACCACTTCGCTCGTTCCGCAGAGCATATTGGCGCAAAGCTCCGACGTGTTGTGTGGTTCAGTGTAATCCAAGCACAGAACGAACAAAGCCGTGTCCACGATATTGAGACATTCTGCGTTGTTCGACCCTTCATCCTTGGTGAGGATATCTCTCAATCCCGACCAAACTTTGCGGTTCTCTGTGCTCAGCACACCAAGCGCTCCCTTCGCAGCATCATGAATGGGTGTCTGTTCTGCATCTCCAATGATGACCTGGAGGTTAACCGCAATATCCTTTTCATTCATGATCAGGTCACTGTTGTCGTCCAGCACATCGAACCAGTAAATCTGACCCCGACACAAGACAACAATATGTTTCGCATGGGGATCCTGGCTTATCACGCATCCATTGTCGGTCGGGACACGCGCTGTTCCGAATAGGCGAGAGTACTGATACATGCAAAGAGGCGTACCCCGGACAGTGTCGGGAGGAAGTTCCTCCCGCCTCACGGCACGGACAAACGACAAGGCAGAGACAACGAGTGAAGCTGCTCTCGTAACCTGATTGTTCCTCGCAGGGGTCGGGTCATCTTCCAGCAGGAAGAATGGGTTCAAGTTCAGCACAACAGCTAGATACAGCAAATCAGTACAGTAAATCCCCAGGCTTGAAGCACGTTTTCACTTACGGCTGTCATAGTTCAAATAAGAGTCGTACCCTGCAATGAGCAGCATTAGTCAGCCTAAGATAACATAGAAAGGCATGGGGGAAAGTTTCAATGTCTGATGACATACAGAATTGTTCAATGTAGCTTGTTTTTGACGAGGCATAGGTCTTGAGCTTCTCTTGCAGAATAGGGCCTTCTGATTTGAGAAAGTCCTGCACAGCTGCCTTGGTTTCCTCCTGCTCTCGGAGTGTCTGTAGCGGGGCTAACGATTCAATGTATCGCTTGCATGTTTGCTCAAGGTCTGGAATTGGTAACTTTGGTAACGAATCCTGGTTCGCAAAGGTCAAGCCTTTCTTTGGTGGCTCTGATGTGCCTCCATTCACTGACATAGGGCCCGAAGACGGCTTGATCTTGGTCTCCGGTGTTGAGTTCGAACGAAGAGAATCCATTGCGCTTCCCAGAGACTTAGGGGCCGTGAAGTGGCGAACTGCTACGGACGAGTAGGACATGGTGTCAGCACAATGCAGCCCGTCCTGGAGACGTGTGATGGAATCTATGGAAAAGACAGATGGATAATATAGGAATTGACGGGGGAGGCAAGATGTTGTGATAGATATTATGATAAATTGGCAGGGCAGTATTAGAGCGCCGAAGGATTATCTCATGACCACGGCTCACGTCACGAGGAAGATGTGATCATGAAGGGTCAAAAGGCATGGGTTCGAGAGAAACATATGGAAGACTTGTGCAGCGAAAATGGTATCATATATAGGTAGAGACCACTAAGGGGGAAACAATTCGTCGTTTCGCAATGATACCCGGGGAGCAACTGCTGGCCGTGGGGTGGAACCCAAAGGTACCTTCGGGATAAAGGGAGTTAGACGGAGGAAGGGACACTTACAGCTTAGCTGCCAACACTAGGAAAGCGACCAAACTACGCCTAGATGAAAGGCTCGAACCACAGTGGACCAGCTCGCCGGGCCTAACCGTCCGCAGCTGCGCCTAAGGCAAGCAGGTAAACGGGATATCGGGGGAACGGATGATGTCTGGTTAGAGGGGCAGAGGGAAGTATATTCAACTGGTCTGCCAAGAGATATGCGCGATAGGCCCGGTGGGCCGTACAAGGTGGAGGCGGGAGAGTTCTAATGCGCGAACGCACTGCTGTAGCTACCTAAGCATTTGAGAATCAATATAAGTACTTATCGACACCTCAAGGAGAGAAAAGATGAGAAGAGAAGGTCAGGAGGAATGTGCGGAGAGCCCCATCCGGTGCTGAGCGTTGTTCCTGTGGCAGTACCAAAGAGAGGATGAGATGGGAACTGCGGGGGGGAGACGATCATGTGAAGCCGAGAATCCCAGGCAGAAAGAGAGAGAAGGCAGTAGGAACAAGTGCTAAAAAAGACTACTAGCACAGTAGCACTAAGTAGAGACACGTACTCGGGATTGGAAGGGCACAGCCAATAGAGAAGCACAACCCAGCTGAGTTTAGGTGAAGTGGTACAGACGGGTCAACTGCAGTGACCGCATTAGACAGTAGTTTAATGAGTGATGGAAGGGCTCTAACGAGATGAATCCTGGTCGATAGCGCCTGGAAGCAACTGCTAGGACAAGGATTGGAACATGTGGCGATAATCCTGGACGAGAGCAGACCAATTGGTGACGTTTTCGGACGAAGGGAGACTGCTGGAAAGTCTGGTTGCGGGGAGGAGAAGCTGCCAGATTCTCTCTCCAAAGTCGGTTCCTCCCCCCCAAAAGAGGTAATCACCTGGGCTTATTCAGACGGCGAAAAATGACACCACAGGCTGCAGTCACGTGGGTGGGGCGGGACAGCCGCTCTGACTAGATAAGAAGATAGGAGAGATAGAGATAGTGATAGAGATGGGGTTGGACACAGGACTACCCGCTGAAATTCTTACTACCTACACTATAGTACTTGACCTACATCTCATCTCTCCACACACAATCATGGCCGGGTGTCATGGAAAAAGGTCTCATCATTTTGGCTTTTGTCATCCCGAAGCAAGTACCGATTCTAAATCAGGGGCGCCCCATATCCACACACCCGCTTTGCAATATACCCGAATCATAATCACACAAGAAATGAAGATCATCTAGTCTAAGGCCAACGAGTCATGTTGTCTCTCATTGAGCCCAAACCATAAGAAAATCAAATAAAAAGCAACAAATAAATATTCACAGATGAAGAGAAGCAGAAAAAAAAAAAAAAAAAAAAAAAAAAAAGGGAAAGCAAGTCACGCCGTGCACCTGCTCTAGCCCACGGG